TAATTCTTGTTATTTTCTAAATACTGTTAATTGAAAGGATTTGTTGTGGAGTGAGGGGAACTAAAATAGCCTAGCTATGTTTATTATAATGTTTGTAAACATTTCACTCGGCATTAGGCCTATTTCTGAATGAAACAATAAAATGCGACATACTTGACTTGCGTTTTTTCTCTCTCTAAAAAAACACATTTTTTATATACGTGTAGCGTATTTTAACCATGCAGCAAACCTTTTCTAAAATGTACATAATAAATGCCATTCTGGACATAGCTGTTAGCTATGGTAGAGTTCCAGGAGGGGGACTGAGCACCTCTGAAGCAGAGAATACTGTGTTATCATGAACTCAGAACTAACACCATTACATAAGCATTAACATAAGCAGATATTTCATGAAAAGAACAGTATGATGCATAGTAATTATGTGACAAAGAAATGTGCTCTTTACTGCTAGTTATTGCCCAAACTATACATGACTGAACAAGGTATGTTGGAAGATACAATGCAGCTTACTAAAATCTTGTAATAACTCCATCAGTATTTTAAACTTGGGGAAATGTCAGTAAAACAAATGTCACGCATTGTATTTACCTCCCAAAAGCCATTCGGTGTTAATAGCTTGTTACTTAGCTAGGGGGAAAAAATGACTCTAGAGAGGGGCATTTGTCTAAATATATCCCCTGTATTACATATTCATTATGTTTTTACTTAATCTGTTTCTGCTGTCTTATTTAAAGTAGGTTTAAACAAATACATTTTAAATAATTTTCTGACAGCCACCTTTTAATTGAAACATAATATCAGTAAGCATAAATGCTGCCTGCTGGAATTTAAATATTTGTATAGAACTCAGTGGCATATGTTTTATCTAAAAAGAAATGGCAATCAAATGAATAGTTTGGACTTCTTTAATATTATAATAATGTACCAACTGGCAGGGTTCCCTGTAAAGCTTTTTTTTCCTTAAAGGGATAGTTCACCTAAAATCTAAATAAACAGGATTGTTAAGAGGACTTGAAAAAATCTTCTCCGGTTCCTGTTGTTGATGTATGGATGCTTCCTCTAGGTCCATCCCAAATTCCACCGACAGTGTTGCGGCACCAAAGCTGGAAGGGTTCAAAGGAGTCTCTGGCCCCACAGCGACACAGTGCTCTAATGACTGATGGCATGATTTACCGTCCCAGTAGCCCTGGACCTCAAAGCGACCTCTCACGGCCTGCTACCTTTCCTCAAAATCTTGCCGCTGCAGCCAGCGGTCAACGAGTGAATCCTCCCCTCCCACGGCAGGTGCGTAGCATCACTCCTCCTCCCTCCTCATGGGACTCCAATCCCTCAACCAAGCGGTATTCTGGGAACCTGGATTACTTGGTGCCTCGGCTCTCTCCTGTGCCTCAGGGGCCCCGTCCCGATGGCTATATAAACCCTCCGTCCCAGGCACAGCGAGGGATCAGTCCGGTACCTGTGGGTAGGCAACCCATCATCATGCAAAGCTCCGGGGGCAACAAGTTTACCTTCCCTCCATCCTGGCCCCAGAATGGCAACATCCAAAGCGAGTATGTGGCCATTAATAGCAGTGGCCGCCAGCCACCACCACCTCCGTATCCCATGCACCAGACTAACAGACAGAGTCCCACGGCCCAGCAGATGCAATCCAGCGCTCTTGCTTCACCCTCAAACGGAGCCAACCTTCCCCCAAGCATGCTGGTGCCCAACCGCAATAGCCACAACCTTGATTTGTACAACCTTGGGGTACTACCCCAGGTCAGACCTCCTGTGCAGCAGCCTCAGACTTCCCCCGGTCACAGCACCAATCAGGACGTTCCTTCGTCATGGCCCCACAGCGTTCCAGGGCGCTCCAACTCCTTCACCAATGCCCAGCCCAGTGGACGTCAGTGCCCGTCTGTGCCCAGCTCTCAACCCTCCGGCACGACTGTCACCACCATTACACAGGCCCCCATTTTGCAGCCGGTAAAGAGTATGCGAGTTCAGAAGCCAGAGCTGCACACGGCCGTGGCCCCTACACACCCACCATGGATGCAACAGCCTCCGTCCTCTGCTTATCAAGATCCGTCTGCTTCCACAGCTGCCCCCGAAGTCCCGAGCTACCAAGGCCCACCTCCACCTTACCCTAAACACCTGCTACAGCAGCAGCCTCCACCGGGGTACGACCCCAACCCCGGCGCAAAACCCAGCAACAAAGAGGAGGATGGAGTGGACAACGACAATGACACTGACAGCACCTGCTCCAGCGAGCGCACTGAGGGCTCCGAGGAGCGCGAGAAAAAACAGATCACGACGTCTCCTGTGCCGGTGCGGCGTTGTAAACGCGACGAGGAGCGCAAGGGGGAAAGCGGAGTTCCCATGTACTCCCCACAGGCTTTCAAGTTCTTCATGGAGCAGCATGTGGAGAACATCCTGAAGAACCACCAGCAGAGGATCCGAAGGAAGAAGCAGTTGGAGAGCGAGATGCAGCGGGTTAGCATGCATTTCTTCACTGACACATCCTCTCATAATAGGGCCTTTCGCACCGCAGGAACCTTTTCATAGTACCAGAACTAATTGTGAAACTACCCACTTTTTGGCGTTTTCGTACCGCCAGAACTGGGAGTGATTTTAGTACCGGACTGCCTTTTTCGAGAACCAAATTAGCTCCTACTCCGGAGCAGGGTCTAACCAGCACAACTGGTACTAATCGTGACGTAAGTAAACATTGATTGGCCAAACGCGTATGAAAATGCCCTCACCCGCCATGATTTAAAATGCCGTCAAAACATACTGTAAACATTGTGTCAACTTATTTCGCAAGTATGGAGAACAGCGATAGATGGACGGACGCTGAAGTGCAGGCACTTGTAGCAAATGTAGCACTGCCAGTTGTCGTTGGAGATTCTTAGTCCTCCTTTCCGTTCTTTCAATCTCTTTACGTATACGTCGACTTTCCATGTCCATTATTGTGAAACCCGCGAGACACAACAAAAACACAGCTCTGATCACAGCGTCCTCCATCCTCCTGTTGTTAATGTTGTTCTTCTTTGTTTAACTTCCGCGCACAAATGACTTCACTGTCGACCGGCTTACGTCACTTCCTAGTACACACTCTCGGTGCGAATGCAACCCTTTAAATGGTACTGGGAAATAGTCCGCGCAAAATCGTCCCAGTACTTTAGTACCGTACATTTAGTTCTGGAACTAAAGCGGTGCGAAAGACCCTATAGAAACCTAGTAGCCAGAAAGAAAAGCTAACTTTTAAGAAAAACGTCAGACGTAGGCTA